CATAAAGTTTGCTTAGGTTTAAAAAACAAGCTAAAAATATTGAATAGGTAAAAACCAAACATTTTCAAAACCAGGTCATCATCAGGGTGATGATGACCTAGTGTCAAAAATGTTTGCTTTTTATATTTTTCAAATATTTTAGTCATGTAAATAGCTCAATGCCATGAAATGAATTCATATTTTTTTTTATGAGACACTTTAAGAGAAATTATTTCCTTTCTGACCTTACTCTCATCCAAGAATACTGTGAAATGTTCTCAGCTGTTATTCAGTAACTTAGTTTTGTTAAGGAAAATATTTTCAATTCAGTTTTGTCTCTTAATCCACAACTTCAGTTAAAGGTAAAGATAATCCCTGTTCCTTTATAATTATTAAGTGAGATAGTTATCTAATACTTTCAGTTCTTCACATGAGCCTAGTACAATGTGAAGTGTTTGTTAAATGCCTGTTTTTAACCATTTATGCGAGGTAAGGCACTGAATGCTAAATACAGTGTATCTCTCTGTTTACCTTTCCTTTCAGGTACTTTGCCTCCCCCTGAACTCTTTACTGCTGATCTTGAAAAAGAACTAGGACAACTACGTACAGAACTTATCAAACAAAGAGTGGAAGGTGAGTGAAACATGCGTATTGGCTGCGTTGAACAGGGCAAAAGAAATATGGAAAGGGATGCAAGGAAATGGTTACACTAGTATTTCAGGCTTGATTTCTTAAGTAGCAAGCTGAAAGGTGACACACGCTTCCTTTTAGTTTATTGTAAAGGACTCCTATTATTTTCTCTCCAATACCTAAGCCCTGCATGCAACTTGCAAAACATCTGCGCTGCTCATTACGTATTGAAGCATTGGATAATGTGTATTTACTCCATATTTAAGATAACCCCTCTTCTTATATTATGTTATCAACCAAGAATGGTGTTTAAAAATTCCTTAAACCATTTTGCTGTTTACTTCTTCTCTCAGGTAGTTCACGTTCTCTTTTTCCCACCGTTGATACAGTATTAAGCCTACGCCAGGAACTTAAGAAAGTCAAGATGGAAGGTGAATAAATAATGCATATTTAGAGAAAAAACAACTTTAGTAGAATGCTATTAAACACTTCCACTTCTTTATCGAAGTATCCTTTTCCACGGAACTCCTGCACGTGCAGTCTTTTTCTGCATTAATTATTAAGAACAAGTCTCTGTAAGAATCGAACATCTTGGGAAATCAAAATTTTCAACCCCCCTTCCTTTTTAAAGGTTGCAACACTCTTGTTGCCATGGTAACAACGGCTGCTTGTTTGAGGTCTGGGACCTCATTTTCATACAAAAACGTCGCAAAAAAAAGAGTGAAATGTTTATTTCTCTATCTAAAGCTAAATACAACATTACAAATTGGCACTTCTACCATACATAGTGACATCATTCGTCTTCACATTCAATTTTCCCTGGGAGTGAATGTGAACACACCAATAGATTATTTATCTCGGTACAGTTTCGGTCATTTTTGTTGAAGGGTAAAAGAGGGGAAACGTTTATCTGAATTTCTCCAAAAGTACACCGATTCTGGAACTGAAACTACCCACCTAGCTGGTTATAATATTCTAGTTTTTGAATATGTAAACATCTCTGCGGTCCTGCCTCTACTTTTTATAGGGGCAATTCGCGAAAAAAGCTCAAAATCAGATATTGCATAATTTGGCGATGTTTACATTAAATGTTCTCAACAACAAATGTTTCAGAAAAATGAAACATGAAAGGCTTTGAAAGAATGTTATCTTATAAGCAATATCGCGAAGAGGAATCTCGCCTCTGGTTGTCATCTTTAAAAAAAAAATTGATCAACCTTCATGGAGGACTACCTGACGTAACTACAAACATATACCTCAAATCGTGTGCATATCATCCAGATTCCGAGTGCTGCACCTTCTTTCATGGGAATTTGAGCGATCCGAAGCCCTCTGAAGATACACTGTTATACTTGTATGTCATTTAAAACATGTTGAAGTCGGCTGATCTACACGAAACTATCCTCACACCGGTCATTTGTCATAAACATGTACGTTATCACGATAGCGTGACGCTGTATTTCTCCATGAAGTTTCCATCGGTCACCCCAAAGAAGACGAGAAATGGACATTTTTCGATAAATCAGCAGGTTTCCGCTTTTTGAAGTAAAAACAACCAAAACAAAAAAAACAACAAAAAAAAAAGAGGAAAACCTCGATTGAACGCTCGTAAACACTGAGAATCTAAGAGTATAAATCGTAACTTGTCAACGGAAAATTAAATTTATCAAAGTGAAGACGAATTTGTAATATTGTATTTAGCCTGAGATAGAGAAATAAACATTTCATTCTTTTTTTGCGACGTTTTTGTATGAAAATAAGGCCCCAGGCCTCGAAGAAGCAGCCGTTGTTACCATGGCAACAAGAGTGCTACAACCTTTTAAAGGGGCATTTTTGTGCACCCCCCTGAGTGCCTAACTGTATGCAAAATTTGAAGGGGGCTTGAAAATTTTCATTTCCCAAGATGTTTGATTCTTACAGAGACTTGTTCTTAACATTCCGGCACGACTTTTTCTGGTTCTGTTCTGTTATCTAACAGTACCTACAAATGTTTACCTTAGGATTGAATGTCGTCTTGTCCAAATTTTATGGGGAATAGGCTTTGGTGGAATGATAACAATCAAATTGTTTTGTGTCAACACGCAGGGCCATAAGTAAAGCAGTTTTGTGACGGTTCAAAATGAAACGAAGCCAAAGCGATTATTCTAGTCAGTAGGAACAGGTTTAAACAAGAAAATGAGCCAATCATGCAGATGTTGACGAGTGGGTTGGCCACGTCTGAATTTACTTCTTCTCAGTACATTGGCGATACAGAGAACCAGTCTAACTTAAGTCCTCGCAAATATTTTATCCTCAATTGTAAACTGATTTATATTCTAGCAACTGAGACAAGCACATTAAGCATAATTTGATGGAGGAAACTTATCCAATTTAGAAACTTATCCAATTTAGCTTGGAAAGTTGCAAATTTATTCATAGTTCTTACCAAACAGTGTTAGCTAGAACAAGTGCACTGCGATCGGCCGGCGGTGATGATGACCTGATGCGTTGATTCTTGTGTTGAGTCTTTCGATGGAAAAAGTTAAATGTCGTGCCATGAAAGAGTCGTGCCAGAAAAAGTCGCGCCGGAAAATTAAAATCGTGCCAGAAAATTCATGTCATGCCGGAATGTTGAAGTCGTGCCGGTGTCACCGCAGATTTGGACGCCCCGCGGATTTGGACCCCTCCCCAGTCCAAATTCGTTAGCGGATATGGATCCCACTTCGCAAATTTGGACCCCCCTACCGAACTTTCCTTTTAAGCATCCTTTGTATCATATTTGGTAACTAATTCTATTTGCAAGCTTTTGGTCGATGTTCTTTTCAATCACAACACAACATTCCTCAATAAAGGTAAAAAAAAGCCAGCCATTTAGCTCCAATTCCACCGCATTTATTATAGCGAGTCGTACAGTATACGCAAAAATTAGATGTGAACAAACTACTGCATTCGAATTATTGAAATTGTCACAATAAATCTTTGCTTCTTCTGATGCGAATCAACATTGATACGAAACATCATAACAATAGTGGAAACTATTGCGTCCAGCCACAAAATAACTCAGTCTGATTTTCTAAAATAATAACATTAAACAGTTTCTGAACAAGAACGAAGAAACTACTCCTACTACAAGTCGTTCGTAAAACCTATAATAAGTAAAAATGTTTCTATTCTGAACTATTGGAACGCTCAGCTTATTTTCAGATGCAAATCAACATTAATGTCTTCTTAACAAAAGTGGAGACTATTACATCGAACTCAATCTAATTTTCTAATTTTAACGATTATTAACTGTTGAGGGATCCAAAATAACACCTTAACAATTACGAAGACGTCAAGAGTCTGGCGATCTACAGACAATGCAGAGCCACTCGCCCTCCGAGGCAGTCTTAAATCCCTCGCAGCTCATGTGTAACCATTCCTCGCACGACTCGCACTGTACCATGTCGTCCCATCACTCGGGCACTGAACAATGTTTGTCTCTTATTGAATCTAGCGGTTTTCGACTATCGCGGAAAAGGGAAAACGACCCTTCTCCAGACATTAAACCAAATTCTTTGCCCAAAAAGAAACATCCGACGGGATGTCAGTTCGTATGCATTAACGATACGCATGTTTGAATTAAAAACATACTTTAGTACGCACTGGAACGTAAAGTAAAGTATCATCCATTTTTACTAGAACGTTAAGGATGATGCTTTCACTCAGTTTTGTTGGGGGGTCCAAATCCGCGGAGGGGGGTCCATATCCCTTAGCGGATTTGAACCGGGGGGTCCATATCCGCTAGCGGATTTGGACCGGGGGATCCAAATCTTGTGGGGTCCAAATCCGCTGGGACACCGGAATGTTGAAGTCGTGTTAAAGTTATGAACTCCATATTTTTTACCTAATTTTCTATTGTGTTAAACTGATTTAAGTATCTTAGCATAAATGTTCAATTGGCCTTGAGCTATTGTATTTCTTTTTTTATATTCCATGCTTTCGCAGATCTTTGGTACCATTCAGGAACGTAAATAATTTTCTATTTTCTTTCCATTTCCTAACGATACCGTAGATCGGTGAAAGCTTGGAATAAGGGAGAAATGCAGTTGCGCAAGGTATCAATTGAATCGTCCACTTGCCTGGTTTCTAATATAAGACCTGTTAATGTATATATAAATCACTGATTCGCTGTGTGTCCATGTGAGCTAGGTTTGGTCCCGGATTTCCGTTTACCTTGAACATTTTCAGCTTTGTTGTTGCAGCGAAGATAAAGCTGTTGCTTTATCAGACATTTCTGCGATAAATAACCCTTGTATTTGTTTCAGTTATCTTTTGTTTATGTATCGAATACACACTTAGAGTTTGGAAAATACTTTTGTTTTTAGGTAAATCAGTCTTGCATTTATCAGTAATTTTCTTTTCATTTTAGAGGAGATGCGGAGGAGGAAGGAAGGTAAGTTATATGTTACCTATGATGATTAACCTTAGTAAGTTTTATTTTGACAGTGTTTCAATATTCACTCTATGTAGTACACATTGGATGTGTATGTATGTTTGATAATAGCAAATGCACTCGATGATACATTAAAGTTCATTTTCTTTAGTTTATCATGGAACATTCTATTGACTTAAACTAATTTAAGCATCGTATTATAAATTTATAACAATGGCCACAGCAAAAAACAAAAACAAAAACAATGGTATAACGCAGCTCAATGCTTAGAGATGAACCTGAATCGTTCTCCGGTTGCGGAGTGTGTATCTCTGTAATACCCTCCACAGACAGAACTTAAGCAATTAGGCTTTAACGATTAGGCTTTAACGGCTGTGTGATCCAACCAGGTATTTACGGTCAAACGTTACCCGATAAAAGTCACTGGAAATAATACTGAGACTGATTAAATCGAATTGTCAGTGCAATCGGGTCGTTTCTTAACTTATGTTGAATCTGACTGAAAGATGAACTCATTTTTAATTATATACTGGAAGCGCCCGTAGTCAGTATGAAGCGAATTCTGTTCTCTGATTGGCTATCTGAGCGGGATTGCCTGCTCTGATCCCATCGCTGCTAACATGTCGTCCAATTCACGCCCCTAGTCCCTTTAGAAATTCATGCTAGAGGTCCTGTGGCGGTTAAGGCCTATAACGACGCCCTCAAAGACGGAGAGGCATCTGTAAACAGAATACCAGTAATCTTGGTCGGACAAGAGCGAACAGGAAAAACTAGTCTAAAGAGATCTTTAAAAGGAGAGCTTTTCGACAAATTTGAAGAAAGTACGGATGGAATTCAGGCAGATACTGGATATTTCAAAGTCTCTAAAGAAATTTGGAAGACCGGGAAAAAAATTGAAGATGCGGGTCCTGAATCAAGTATCTCGTTTGAAAACCTTGCAGCAGCTAAGTTGATTCTTGAACGGTTAAGGCGAGAAAATTTGAGTTCACAGGATGTTCCACAACAAAGTAAAAACGCCACTCATCTCGATACCGAAAAAACCAGCAGAGATACGGCATCATCTACTTCGAGTCAGCCAAATGGAAACGATGACAGTCCCTTCGACATGCCAGAAATACCTGAAGAAGTACTTCATGAGCTAACCAAACTGCTGCAGAGGGAGAGAGATGTTTCCGACATTAATGATATCTATTCAATCTTGTGGGACTTTGCTGGGCAATCAGTCTACTACGACACCCATCCAATTTTCCTGATTGAGAATGCTATCTATCTTTTGGTAGCCAATCTGAGCCATAATCCTGAAGAGAAGGCAACTCCACCTGTGAAGAAAGGATTGTACAGGAATATCGTAGACTCTCACAGCAACAAAACAAACCTTGACTTCCTTGACTTTTGGATGTCATCAATTTTTTCACTGGCGAGCCCAGAATCCAGCTGCTCAGATTCAGCCACAAATGGTCAAGAGAATTTACCCGGAAGACTTCCCCCAGTGTTTTTGGTTTGCACCCATGCCGACAAGCCCTTCTACAGGACTAACGCTAGAGATCAAGCGCTTGAAATATATGGGTTTTTACGAAGCAAAGCATACAGGGAGCACCTTTTCAAGGACGTTTTCGCCGTGGATAATACCAAATCAGGAGGTGACCACGAGTGCCTAGAGGTCGTGCGCCTGAGAGAGAAAGTACTTGCTGTAGCAAAGGAGTTCCCACTGATGAAAACAAAAATACCATTGAGGTGGTTGAAGTATGAAAACTTGCTTCACATCCGTATGGAGCATGACAAGTGGATACCGCTGAATGAAGCCAGGCGCATTGCATTTGACGAGTGCATTATTCATAACGAGGCAGAATTCTCGACCTTGTTGAATTTCCTGCATGATCAGAGAATTGTTGTTCATTTCAGTGGCTCCCCAGAGCTGGAGAGGATGGTGATCTTAGATCCCCAGTGGCTTGTCGACGTTCTCAAGAAGATTATCACTGTAAAGCGGTATGAACACTCTGAAAAACAAGTAGAGTCCATGTGGTTAAAGCTTGAAGACACAGGGGTCTTAGATGAAAGGCTTATCGACCATGCATGGAGAGACTTGTTTGACAACCAAGAATCCCGCGACAGCCTCATTGCAATCTTGGAAAGATTGAGTCTTCTTTGTTCTTGGCCGTCCGCTGATTCTAACAAGCAATATCTTGTGCCATCCATGTTGATGTCACCCCCAACGAAGGATGTCCTGAGGCTTCTCGCCTCCGCAAAAATGCCATCACTTTTTATCACATTCGCGTCAGGTCGAGTGCCCCCTGGTCTCTTCTCCCGACTTATCCTTCTTTTCCTCCAATGGTGCAAAGAAGAATGGAAGAGCGAAGTGAGCCCACAGTTGTTTCATAATTTTGCCATGTTTTATATTCTTCCAGGCCAAGGTGTGTCCTTGATTTTTCGGTGCCATTCCTCGTCGATCGAAATCGTCGTTTACAGTGGAGACATCGACAACGAGACAGGAGCAAAGTCTTCTTATGAAAACTATGACCAAACTCTAGGCCGTGCTATTCACTGGAAATTGAGATTGGTACTGGAATGCATGCGCAAAGAGTTCCACTGGCTCAAGAACGTGAATTACGATATGTGTGTCTGCTGCCCAGTATGTTCTCAAGCAGGCTCTATCAAATGTCGCGCTCATGACGTGTATGGATGTGAGTGTCTACACTTCTTGTCAGAATCTGATTTGAGACAGCGTCAATATTGTGACAGACCAGGACGCAGCCTTCTTGGGGATTGCAGGATTCGGGTCAACCAGTTTGAATGTTGGTTCTCATTCGAAGACGTAGAGAAAAGTGCTGGAATTTCAACGAATCGGGTAAGTTAAGTTAATAATCTAGAGGCATTTTCATATAAGGTCAGTGTTTACATAATCAGAATGAACTTGACAAGTACATGTATAGTATAAAACAGTATAGTGGATAGCGTTGAAGGCGGACTCTGAATAGCTAATCAAACTCCGCATATCCTTTGTCATTTACCTTCGAGCAACTCGCACGGGATTTTCGCCCGAAATTTGGGTAATCGTTGCAGGAATAAATGATTTAAAATCATAATTTTGTGCTATGTTATCTCAGAGTTTAAGTATATACTAAAACGTTCACTCACCTCCATTTCGTTGAATAGTTGATTAATAATAATAATAATGATAATCATCGAAATATTTGACCAGGATAACCCTTCAATACAAAAGTACTGTTATCAACGGGATCCTGCTTATTGAGAATTAAAAACTAAGAAATAAGAAATATTAAAATATGTATAAGATAGTACCTATAATACAAAAGACACCTCGTTAAAAACTGCTGAAACTACAATAGAAATCACAAGTAATAATTGTCCAAGGCTTTCCTAAATAAAACTTTAGAGTTAATGTTCCTCAAACCCAAAGGTAATGAATTAAAAATCGAGGGACCCAAAAAATAAAAACTACGGCGCGCAAAATCCAGTTTGACCCTTGGTACCTTTGTTGATTTCCCATTGTTTCTAGTGTTTAACGCGTTATGATGTAATCGTTGGAAGTAGTCCCTAAATGGGAGACATACGGTTCCATTAAGGCAGTCAAATACAGAGCAGCATGCTCTCTCCTGTTAAAAGTTGTCAATTGTTAAAAATCGAAGATCATAGTTCTGTGGACTGCATTTAGGGGAAATGGCTTCGTGGCTTCTGGCCTCAGTGGAGCGGATCATGCGTTTGCGGGACTCTGACCATCCAAGACTATTATACCCGCAATACGTAAATATTAGCTTAATCATCGATTTGTAAATTCTTTGGGCGCTGAAGGTATCAATGCTGGAGCGGATACGCCGTAAGAGGTTCATTCTTGCTGCTGCCTTCTTGTACATTTTATGAAAATGCGTGTCAAGATTAAGGGTGGGGTCCAAATGAACACCGAAGTACTTCTAAGATGTAGTGGTATTGATGTGAGAACCATTGACCGAGATCTTGACTTGACAACCAAGTATAAAAGTATATAAGTATATATTGGATATAAGTTCTGCATACTGACTTTCAATACATCGTGGTGAATTTTAAATGAATATGAAATAAGTAAACATTAATAACAGGCAAGAAGTCACTAACCCAAAGTTGAATAAAGTATTGGATCTGTGTCTCCACTTGAAGATGTTTGGATTGATTCATGAAATCTGCACCACACGAGCGATTATAATTTTCATCATATCTGTCCTTCAAATCAAGGAAAAACTTCTCTCCTAGCAATAATATAGTTGTGGCGTACTCGTTACTAAATTGAAATAACAAATTCAATTTAAGGAGTTAACATTGTAGCCTGCAACGTGTAGCTTTCCGTTTAGTAAGCCAGCCAGTCTCATCCCCTTGCTAGGGGCAAGTGCGAATACATTTTGTTTTTTAAGGCCGAAGTTGATTTAGTCTGATTTGTTTATTTAACAGCCCCGTGCTTTTAATGCCTCGGGTCCTGAAAGTTCTCTCGATGAAGAAGGCATATTTCCCTTGGAAGGTGAGAGGCCCTTTCTTTTCATGTCATCATCGCATAATGAAAGTGTCGTACTAAAAAGAATAAATCCAAGGTACATAAAAAAAGTAAAAAAAAAAAAAAAACAGTTAAGAGTACTTTAGGATTCAAGAATTTAGGATTCAAGATTTAAGATCCATTTCCATAAATTGTAACACGAGAGCATTTCGAACAATGTTCTCTCTCCCGGAACTGGCATAATTATCAGTTCATGATGTTGAGCGTCAACAAATAACTTTCCTTCATCGTAAGTTTGTCATCTCAATGAAGCTCTTTGTTTTTTCAATTATTTCTATATCATTTCCAAGGAACGACGCGGAAAGAACTTGCCCTGCCAGAGAATGTCAAAAGTTCCATTCAGTCCATTTCATTCCGTTCAACAAGTGATGTTAAGGATATTGTGATTCAGTTTCAAGAAGCTCTGCAGTTGGAACCAGCATCTTTAGAAAGTCCAGAGCCTGAGACGAAAAGTATGATTCGTGGCCTTGCCTTGAGAGCTAAATCTGAGAAACGGGATGATTTGGTGAGACACTTACGAGAGATTACACCTGCTGGTACTACTGGTGAGTTTAAGGAAGATGAGATTTTTTATTCGCACGAGGAAGGAGGGAATAGGTTTCTAAGATATAAAGAAGTACTCACACAAGCGTTCTCTCAATGCAACATTAAAATAATGTCGACGCGTTCTTGATTTTATCATGTAGCCATATTTGTTGTTGATGCCCTTTTGATCTGCTTTATTGTATTTTTTAATTTTGGTTTTAAGTTTTATAAAATAAATTCTGCTATATTTATCTCCCTTTTCTGTTCTTTTGACTTTACAGGGCCGTTGTTGAATGAGGATATGTCAGTTGGTTGTATGCCACGTAGACAATACCAGGATTTGACGTTCAGCCTTTCGGGTAAGGAATTAAGTCGGCGTCTGCGCACCCATTTATTCATAAACTATTTGTATACTAATCTTTGATTGAAATCATAGTTTGTCGTCTCTCAACTCTGAAAAGGACTCTCGCAAAAAGTCGGGCCTTAATAAGATTTGATTTTGCAGATGCGTTTTCAGATCATATTCCGGCCAGATTAGTTCATAGCGAACTAAATTTCGTCAGCTTCCGTCAAAACCCTTTCCAGAAGGATGAGATAACGATAACTTAGACGAATTTGGAGGATATCGGGTTCCAAGAAAAGTTCAGCAATTTATGCCATTTGAACATGTAGTGTACAATAGAGTTTGGTTTGAGGTCAAAATCTGTTTTTTTATTTGAAACACAATTTATAAAAGACCATAATATGTTTTTTATACGTAGGTCACGGGGGGTGGAAACCGCTGGCAGAAAGGCTGGGTTTCTCCCAAATCGAGATGTGCCTTTTAGATGAGAGAGTTGTGAATCCTTCTGACGTTGTTCTTGGCGCTGTGGCAAAGTATCGCCACCTGAGTGTTGGAGAAATCTATGACACATTGGTCGACTGCGGGCTACCATATATTGCAGATCTAATGTAAATGAATTAGAATATTATGAACACCGGACAAAGGTGAGCGACACAGCAAGAAGCAGACGCGAAAAACAAGGTAGCAGCCGACGACTTATTAGCAAAACATATATGGAATATTGTATTTCCTGAATTTGTCATCGAAGTATGAGAGCCCTAATCTGTGTTAAGCAGCATTTTAGCAGTTTTAGAGTCACTTACAATCGCACTTGTATAGGGTAAAAAGAAAAAATGATAGATCGAATTTGAAATTAAGCCTTCGTTCATCTAGTGGTCAGATAACAAGCGTTCTTTCACAAGTTTTCCATTTGGATGCTATACTAGTTCTTTTTTTCTAATATTTGAACAGTTCCTTTTATTGATTTCCATATAAAATGTTTGTTAGATGACAAAAAGTAGTATCACGATTTAACCAAGCCTAAAAGCAGAGCTCCAGTTTTTTTTTTGTTAGTTTGTTACTTTTTTTTGCCTTCATTTAATATTTACGTAGAGGGTTTGGTTGGGGTAGTTTGTGGGGAAAAAAATTGATAATCCAGGGTATTTTGTAGCAGTTAGAGGGTGGGAATTGTTTCTTTCCTCAATGTATAAGGGATTTTGTACAATGATTCATCGTAAAATGAACTTATAGGCGGTATAATGACGACTGGATCAAAACATAAATAAAAACCCCAAGAGGAGGGCACTTGCATTTTTCAACAAGTTCTAAAGCCCAAGTCTTAGTAATTATCATTCAAATACAAAATCATTTTGCATTGTGGCAACAAAGAATATGTTTAAAATAACTGAGATCCCAAGAGCATCTTGATCTGATTGGTCAAAAACCTATTGTTTATTATAAAACCATAAAAAAATTGAATCTTGTTCAGCTTGTTTTACAAAAGCAATAGTGTAGACCGCACTTTCTATCGGTTCACCGGCGTTGGGATGTTGGTACGTCGAGAAAACAAGGAATGTTGGGAGAACACTCGAATAGGTTGTTATACTCACACGCCTCCGGATCGTAATGCACAAACTTATTTATCATTCTCCCAAATTCCGCCAGAGCTATGACGCCGATAAACCGATAGAAAGTGTGTGGTCTACTTTCATAAACATGAAGCCAGTATGGTTTGATTTAGAGCAATTATTGTATTTGAAACGGAAGAACTACGGCGAAGGACTAAGCCGGGTTGATTTATCTCAACTAACAGTGGTGGCCTTGGTTAGGGTGCGGCAGTCTTCCAAACTTTGGAGTCATAACCTTTAATCCAGTTTCAAAAAAAGTATATTTTCTTTGTTTTATAGCTAGTTTAATGAAATTTTTAGATGCACCAGTAATTATAATTTCTCGAATGAAGTGACAAGGTTTCCTTAAAAATGTAACGTCTCTGTATTGGTATCCAGTTTTCATATTATCTTGACAGTTAGAAAACAATGATTTCGTAGTTAGTAACACGTGTACACTCTGAAATTCGCTTCTCGGGTTGATGGAAGAATAAGACGGATTTTGTTTCAGAGAGAAAAAAACTTAGTTGAACATCAGATTAACCTTTCAGATTGCAGTTACCCATTGATACCCATAGGTAGAGAAGGACGTTTTGAGAGTGAACTGCACAATTGAAGAACAATGATTGTTGTAGTTAGTAATACACACTGAAATATATTAAATCATCGGTTGTGCACGAATCAGTTTTGAGTGTAACTACTGTAGCAACACATCTTATCTTCCCCTTGACCTATATGTATGCCTTGCATGCCAATGTAAAGCCAAAATAAAATCATGTGTGTTTTAGCTTGACATGTGATTGAATGAGAAAATAAGTAAATCTTAGTTCGCTGGAAGAAAGTGAAAGATATAGTTGTACATTTTTCCTAATCCA